TTGGAGGAAAATAAGAGAGTCCATAAATGGTGACAGAAATTCCAGACTGTGCAAATTATCTGAGCCTTCTCTGGAGGAGACCATTAGTTCTCCCTCATCTTGCCAAAACACTTGACTAAGGCTTAGGGGTGGAGTGTGGTTAAGAAAGTGGGGGGAGTGGGAAGAGGGAACAATTAATTTTGAGCCAAAACTATGGAGGCACTTGATATTGTTGATTCAACTTAATCTTCATAACCACTTGAGGAGGACATAATTTTTCACCTTTCATGAACATGAATAAGAGCACACCCTTAGTGGAACTCACTGGTGGCCAGGCACTGTTCTAAGCACAATACACACCAGAGCTCAAGTAATCCTCACAACAACCCTGTCTGCATAGGACTGTATACTATTTACTATTATCCCTGTTTTACCCATGTGGAAACTGTGGCATGGGAGGGTTACATGGCTTACCCAAGGTCCCACAGCTGGGAGGCGGTGGTGCCAATGCAAAACCAGAGGGCTGCCTCCAGACAACCGGCTGTCAATCACTGCCTCAAAGGGGATACCCATGGTCCCAAGTCATGATGGGAGAACAGTGCCAACTCCCCCTGCCTGCCTGACATCAAAGGACATCTTTCTCCACGGGGCACTGAGAGGTAGAGGAGGTGAGGAGAAGGAGCAAGGTGAGGGACTTCCAACAGGTGAGCGCCATAGCACTGGAACTAGAAGTGCAACAAACAAAGTCACGGACAGAGACAAAAAAGTTGAGAACTCCCACTCTGGGTGATTCAGAAGGAAACAATCTTAGAGGATGAATGAAAGAATTTGAACCCTGACCAGTGTGAATCTGAATCCAGGCACTTTTCACCATAACCCACTGCTGGATGACAAAGGATAATGTATGCTTAGGTTTTTCTAGAAAACAATGCACATGCAAACATTTTTATTTATGTATTTATATCACAAAACTGACTTTAGTATATCCTTTCCCACTTACAGTTCTTTGCTAAGTATCTTCACTGTCCCAATGACTTCTGGTTCTTATTTTCTTGGTACACACAACGTCCTCATCCTTTGGGTTCTCTGCACCTCTCTCGATAGTCCAGGTTACTCTCTACGCAAACATTTTTTTAAAGCTTAAAGATTGATGTTTTGAAAGAAATATAAAAGGTTCTTTCTTGCTGACATTTAAATAGATATTTGGAATAGAGATCAGATTATAGGATTTGGAAAGATGATCGTGGGAATTCAGTCGGGGGTCTTTTAACAACACATCAAATACAGAAAAGAAGACTAAAATAACCCAGAGAATACTGGTAATTTTACCTCTGATTAGGTAAAATTGTCCTATCACATTTTATTTTGTAACTTCTCATCAGCTCACTCGAACTGCTGTTAATAGGGGGTCACAAATCACTGCCCCTCCAGCGTTTGGCCTGGTGCATGGCAGTTAACTTACAAGGACACCTCAACAACCAATGTGTGTCAAGGAAGGACTCCCTCCATATTCTTAATTTGGAACAAGAATAACATTTAGAATTCCATATGAAATGCAACATACTGTTAAAAAAATTTTTCTCTCGAAATTCTTTTTAACTTCAAATCCCTCATGGTTGGTGAAGAGTTAGTTTTGCAAAAAGAATAAATCTTATCACTTGTTTTGAGCCTCTGCTAACATGGAGCTGTGTGACATGGTCCGAATGTTCTCTGACTCTTGTGGGATGCTCAGGCCATCAAAATTTCATTAGCCTCACAGCAGTCCTAGCGCCTTCTTAACTTGAACTGTTGGCCTCCTTATCAATAAATAAATGAAATCTAATCCCTTTTAGTGACTAAATTCTTCTTTGAAGTTATAACTAGAACATCAGGCACTCTGCTTGCATAATTTTACAAATGTTTAATAACATTTTTTTTTCCTGGGGAAAACAGCCTCATTCACAGTTATTCCAAATGATGAAAACAGTCAACGAAAACTCCCATGTTAAACCAGATGAAAACAAATCAGTGTCTGGTTCTTAAATTAGCTTCCTTTTGGTGAGTTTTCTTACCCATGTCCTTCTCATTTCGACCTTTAGTGATACAATAGAATGTCCAAGGGCACATCTCAAACTAGTACAAAAATGAATAAAATCAGGCAATGAAAAGAAATGAAGAGTCAGAGGAACATATAACCAAACAATCAACAGCCTTTAATGTTACAGCAATTTAAAATATCTGAAGAGAGTAAGGCTGAATTATTTTAGTAATTTTATATTAGAACTATTTGACTAGAAGTACTAAGAAAAGTAGCAATATGTATTTGTTTTGAGAATATTGTTTTTAAAGACATTACAGGAACCCGTGTATGATTGAAAATTTTAATTCTTAAAATAAGCCAACTTAAGGGGAAAAAAACATAACTTTTTATATCAGGAAAAAATTCTCGATGCTCTTATTCAATACCACAATTCCAAATATAAGGTCTGCTAAATACCTCAGAAAATTATACTTCCCCATATCTTAATGTAATTAATTGATTTAAATGAAATCTTGTTCCGTCTGAGTAATTGCTGAAATTTCAGAACAAATAAATTAATCTGAAATGTTCCTATGGACATATACATTAAATATATGAAATAGCTAGTATTCATTAAGACAACTTATCTACTTTATTTCCTCTTTTGTTTCTTTCCTTCAAACTGCTCTCATTGGGAATTCTTAGACCATCAAAATGTTGTTTAAAAAAACAGCCACAACCAAACCTCAGGAAAAGAGTAAACATAAGTTTAAGTCATCACTTTGCCCAACTCTGCAAACATTGCTTTTGACACTTTATACTCTTAACTTGGCTGACCTGTTTACTCTCAACAAATGCTGCGGAATGTTCTGAATTTCAAGGCAAGGCTCTTGACACTCTCCCTGTCTCTCTTCATCCTGTTTCCTAACCACCACTTGGAGAAACGAAAGTGTGAAACTTTTCATGCCTTTACATCACCCAAAGAACAAGGGCTATGAGATTCCTGGGGAAACGAATTCCTCCTCCAGTTAGGAATAACCCATGCAAGTAGAGAAGGGTAGTTTGTGTGAGAAACTCAAAAGTCTTCCTTCTCTCCTCCCAAATATTTGGATATTATATTCTGTTAACTAAAGGTCATAAAGTTTGTAGTTTTCTATTATGTGAAAAGAAAAAATATGGCATGTATTTGGGAATTCACTGTGAAATAGTTCAGAAGATATATAATTTTAAAAAAAATTAAATTAGTTTATATTTTACCAATATAGCTACCATAACAAGATATGCTTCTTATGAGAGAGAGAGAAAAAGAGATGCTATAGAAGTTTGGGGTGGAAAGGGCAAACTGACCCAATGTGAAAAATATTTAATAGATACAGATATGGATGATCTATAATGCAGATGAGCAGAAATGGTGGCATTATCCTGCTGCCTTCTATTCTTAATAACACCACAAATGTTATTGTTTAAGAAAATCAAATGTCAAATGCTACATTTGAATACAGCCATTGTACCTGCAATTGCTCAAGGAGCATTATATGAAGTGCAGCTGCACAGGAAGCAATATCGCATGTATTTAAGGCTAGTGACTTCGGAATCCACTATGAAAATTGATAAAAACACAGAATTACTGCAGTGAATGGATTAGCTGAGAAAAGTATTATCTGCTGATCCTAAGACTCATTTTGTCAAAAATAACTGTCCTTGTTTACTCTTAGGGCTGGAATAATGCCAGTCTCCACCAAGAGCTGACACTTCCAAAATGAAGATATTGAGTACCTGTTATTAATTGGTCTTGACTTTGGTTTAATGCACTAAAGTATTCTACATAAGAAATTGTTTGCTTTGGTTTAACTTAGACTTTTTCAAGAATAGAAAGGAAACATTTCTAATAAACAGTGAGAAGCACCAGGAACCGCTTCATACTGACACTTTGCTAAACTGAAAGCTAACAATAGATCTGCTTTCTTATTACAAAGCAAAGCTGACAAAGTTGCCCAATAAATAATAAAATTGAAATATCATTGATAAAACAAGCATTTTTCTTTTCAAATGCCATGCAATTCTTCCAGTTTAATTTTCTCTTTGCTTTTTGATGCATCGGATATACAAAGCATCAATAACTAGAATGAAGTAGCAAGTGTACTGTTAATATTAAAAGTGGTAGCAGAAATGATTTTTTGTTGTCGGGTGCATTGGCACCAATAATGCTCCAATTCTTCCTAGAAGCAGTACTGACTAAAAATTAAGTTTTCTTTACAATTTATTATTGCATATAAATTAACTGTTAGGTTTTTTTTTTAAAATTATCCTACACTGGCAAGAGGAAAAAGTCCTGATAATTGATAAAGACCCTTTTCTTACAATATATAAAGCTGCTATTTGGATATCCTAAAATCCAATTTTTGTGTATAGATTTAATTGCACAGTAATCCAGTCCCCAAAGCACATCAAAGGCCACACTCTCCATCTCTGCCAAGATTTCAATTGCTCTCATCAACCAGTAAGTCTAAAGCATGATCAAATTTGTTCTTCAATCACTTGAGCCCTGTTAATAAACTATTCTGTGTGCTCACTCATCCATTCTAAGATTCTGCAACTTCTTTGAGATATCTTCAAGAGGAATCTACAAAGACAATCTTTGATTGCAAGATGGCTCTGGGGTAAATGTTATCAACACTTGCTTTCCTGCTCCACAGAGGATAACAGGTGACCTGGTCCAAGATAAGTCAAAGGTAATCTTTTTTTTTCCTGTACACGATTAAACTGTTTTTCAAAACTATAGCTAACACATCGTAGACTGCTTGCCTAATTTAACCATCTGACATCGAACATTGATTTTTTTTTCCAGGAAAACAAATGCATTATTCAAGGACATTTCTTGGATTCCACTGCATTAAAACAAAAAGAAAGGGAGAAGAAAGAAAGATGGGAGGAAGGAAGAAAGGAAGGAAAACACACCCCCAGAGTCAACCAAAACAGAAGCACTGAATGCCAACATGATAAAGCAAGAAATGAAACTCACCGTTCTCACTGTCGGACTTGTTTTCGTGCTCCGTATCTGTCAGGGTGAGGGCTGAGTTGGACCGACTTGACAGGCAGGAGCTGCGGCCCGATTTGACCCCCCTGCCCCAAAGTCTCATGGCATGCTCTGGGGACATCACTGCTTCATTTTCAGTATCAGCATCTGACCCTGCACTGATAGAGTAACCTCTGTGGGGGAGCCCCATTTCCGCACAAAATGCCAGTCCTCTTCGAGTTGCTGGTTCACAAACTCCTAACTGCCTTAGGGTAAAATTCTGTCCTAATTAGGGGGAAAAAAAGATAACAACTGGTGAGTATATGTTTAGGGTTAGGTTTCTTTTTTTATTATTATTATTATTTTTAAAGAAAGTTTCCCTGAAATAAACACTCAAGCATTCAAGTTGTTCAGCTATCAGCACCAAGTGTTTACATTAGCTTTGCATGGCATATGGTCAAGTGCGAGCAATTATGGGAGGTGAGGTTGGCCCCAGCTTAGAGCTCCTTTGTTACCTGTTTAAGACCATAAGCACCTCCAGAGAGATGGGCAAGTAAGGTGGCACCAACCATGAGAACTCAACCTGCAGGAAGCATTAGTGACCACTGATAGAATTTTGCTTGGCAGACTTATGAAGCAATAGCAATTGTCAGAATTATTTTCTGCATCCTGCCTTTAGTCCTAAAGAATAGGATTTTCCCACCAAGATGTCATTCCTTTGGAAGAGAAAAAGATTTCCCTCAAGAATAAGTTACTCATTAAATAGAACAGGAGCTTCATCAGTTTTATTATTTTTCCCACCTTAACTTAGCAGCTAATATAAACATGTAGCTAATATAAACATGTCTTGAAAATCTACAGCACATTTTGGATATCTTTGACTTTCTAGACTTTTTAATAAACATTTGAAAACATCTGTATTGATCAGAGTAAACCAATTTTTGCAAATAAAGTGCACTCTAAAAATAAAGAGGGAGTATTACGTATTTAAAAATTAATGATAAAATCAAGTTCCCTGAAAAATAAATGGCTGTGAACTCTGCAGGCCTTTACTAATAAATTGAGCATAATAAAACTCATGACACTGCAATAACTTAAAGCAAAAGTGTTTAAATTAGGTGACACTTTAAAATGACTGCTGTTATTAATGACTTTTCCAATCATGTATTTATTCTTGAAATCTCACATGTGTTTTATGATACCGTGGATGAGAAGAGTGAGAAAAATGTTTGCTCATAGGATGCATATGTGTGGCTCTTCCATTGCTTGTGTTTTGTTGACATGGTAAAGTCTGAGAATTAGGTATCAACCTGAATCAAAACACATAATAGTAAAGAATGATAGTATGCAAAGACTGATTTAAAAGGTACTATCTAATAACCAAACCTTTTAAGAATATTAGGCATTTACATTACTCATATTTTTATTTTCCTACTTCTGTCTCTTAAACCTATGAACATTTTAAAGCTAATAGGCTGATGTGAGAAACATTTATTATATATTTTTTAAAAGAGGACATTATAAATTATTTGTGATAAAATTATAACATGTCAAATCTTGTAGGAAATAAATCAGACATAATGGACAATGTAGTAAATATTTGGTTGTAAAGACATTAGCACCCTCCAGGCCTCAGCACATTTAAACTAGCGTGGTTAATTGCTTTATTGCTGTGGCCATATCAGAAGTTGGAATCGGCTTTATCTCGGTCAGACTTCCAAATGGATTCCGACAATGACACTCATAAATAATGAAAATCAGTTGCTACAATTAGCTGCAAATCAAACTGTGCTTATCAAAGAGATGTGAATAAGTATCTGAACCAAAAAGTATGTCAAAAAAAAAAAAGAAGAAAAAAAAGGAAAAAAGGCTTCCCCGTTGAACAGTGAAAAAGCGGGTGAGCTCACTGAGGTAAGACATGGTATTGTCCGTATTTTAAAAGAATTAGTGCAGACTGTACTTGTGCAAGTCAATCTACACAAGGTCAGTGTCGTCGTGGACAGTCAATGGAATTGCTGCAGAAGAGCTTCCCCACTGCTATTTACATGTCATGTTTAAAATGGGGGGAGTGCTCTAAAACATTTAAATATTGCCATCAACCATGCCGGTTTTTCAAAATAAGAATGCAAAATAATGTTTAAAGCAGGGAAAAATAAAGGGTAAGATCCTCAGCATCTTTCCTCTATTTTGGAAGGTGCCCACATTAGAGAATAAAAAGAAAAGTTAAAAGATAATAAGAACTCCCTCTCTAATCTCTGAAACTTAACTTGAAACATTTTCCAATATTGACTTTTCACACTACTGCCATCTTGATGCGAAAATCTATGAGGTGAAGGAAAGCAGAAAGCTGCAATCTTTATTTGTTATCCAGGTATGTAAACACAGTTCACTTTGCAACTAAATATACTACACATCAGCCCTCTGAACTGATACGTGTCTCCCAAACTCCATGAACATCTGACCCTCTGAAGTCAATGACTCACAACGATTCAAAAATCTTAAGGACTGTTTCTGAAATGCAAGCTAAAAAGCAAGCACAACAGCAGGAATCCCTGTTAGATCTCCTTACTGAATTAAAAGGTTTGTTTTTGTTTCCCCTAGGAAAGAACATTAAACTTGGCCTCAGATGGACCTTGGTTACAGCCACTCACTAGCTCTGTTCAAATGACTTTGCCATTTTTTTTTCATCTTTCAGGGCTGTCATGATTTGGTTTTAGAAGACAGTTTATGTAAATGTGACTAGCATAAAGAAGGGCTAAAGGAAAAAATGGCTTAAAGATAAATACCTTGACAAATATAATTAATAATCATAGAAAATGTATCATTTGAGGGTGGGGAGAGAAGCATTTTCAATTTTCAAATCATTTTCGAATAGCCACACCACCACCAAAGTCGACTTTTAGTTAAGCAATTGCCTTCATTCAAAAATCTCTCTACCCCAGACCCGCCTCACTACTTCAAATTCTATTGTCATCAATTCTCCTGGTTGGTTAAGGATTTTTGTTTTTAGGATCCCTTGTTTTAATACAAACACCCCCGGGGGAGATCTAACCTTAAACTGAAATAAATTGGTCTATTAGATTATTTCCCACAATCTAGCAATGTTTAGCAAGATAGGCTATACTTAATGGAAAACATCTGCAGTTCTGACAAGTGCAGGGAAGATGGAGAAGAGAAAATTCCCTGACGAGGAGGGGAAACACTTGGCTGAGGTATGAAGACGTGGGAGGCCTGGGCTGGGCTTGTTGGGAGGAGGACTTTTGGGCAACACAGAGAAGTGGAAAGAGACAGGTAGGACAAGGCATGCCTCTGAGACCAGGCTGCACACTTGACAATCCTTCTTAAAGTTAGCTCTGGCTTTAAGGAACAAACACTTGATTCTTATTTTCCGTGGTTTCTTGATTTTGTAAAAGTCTTCTGTTCTTTGCAATAGTTTGGATAATTTCTTTCTTTTTTTTTTTGCCTCTTACAGTCTTTATATTAATTTGGTTTAGACAAGACTGGCAAAATAAGTATTTCTCTCCCATGCGTTGAATTTTGGTAACCTTGATCAGCAGTGCTAACAACAGAGGAGTTTCCCATTACAGTGTGAAACATCACCAAAACAATAAATTGTAGCAAGTACAAAGTACACCTGAGGATGGAATTCACTATGATTAAAAGGCAAGGTTAGCTTAGATTCGATCAGGCATTTTTGTTTTATCATACTAACAAATTTGAAAATCTACAAAAGAAAAAGTAAATAAACACAACCCAGGCAGGTTGTATTTAAAAAGTTGCACATTTTAGGCCAGGCATGGTAGCTCAAGTTTCTAATCCTAGCACTCTGGGAGGCTGAGGGGGGGAGGATCAATTGAGACCAGGAGTTCCAGACCAGCCTGAGGAAGGGTGAGATCCCGTCTCTACTAAAAATAGAAAATTAGCTGGGCATGATGATAGATGCCTGTAGTCCCAGCTACTCGAGAGGCTGAGGCAGGAGGATCCCTGGAGCCCAGGAGTTAGAGGTTGCAGTGAACTATGATGACGCCACTGCACTCTAGCCGAGGTGCCAGAGCGAGACTATCTCAAAACAAATCGACCAATAAATAAATATATAAACAAACTTTAAAAATTTTTTAAAAAGTTGCATATTTTAAAAAATGAGTTAGGGTGTGTGACAAAATGGGGAGGATGGTATAAGGACAAGTACTTCAAATGAGCTGGGCACATAGAACTGTTATCCCTTTAATAAAAGAAGGGAATTGGAAAAATGGGTTAGCTATTTGGCCTTTTTCTCACAGTGTCTACAACCTAGTCAGAACAGGGAGGGAGTTTTCAAAGCTGCAACCAGAGTGATGATCACCAATGGGCAAGACGTCTACTACCTCTTGTATGAGTTGAAAAGAAAAAGATTCTACATGAGGGAGAAGTCTGAGTTCCACAGGGTGACTATAACACCCCGGGGGGAGGGTCTTCTCTCCCCTCTAATGTCTGGATTTCTCTGATGTCTAAATTTGGCTTTCTCTCTCTCTCTCTCTCTGTCTTGCTTGCTTGTTCTTTTTCTTAAATAAATAGCTTTATTGAAATATAACTCACATAGCACACAATGCACCAATTTAAAATGTACAGTTCAATGGTTTTTGTTATATTCACAGAGTTCTGCAATTATGACCACAATCAATTTTAGGATAATTTTATCCCCCAAAAAAGAAACCTCATACCAATTATCAGCTACTGCCCATTTTCCCCTGACCCCCGACCCCCTGCCCCCTCCCAGCCCTAGGCAACCACTAATCTATTTCCGTCTCTATAGATTTCCTATCCTGGACATTTCAAATACAGGAGATCTTACAATATATGGTCTTTTGTGACTGGCTTCTTTCACTTAGCATAATGTTTTCAAAGTTCATCCATCTCACAGTGTCAGGGTTGATTTTTTCAGAGGGTGTTTCCCTGGTTCTTTGGCTCCTGGCTTGGAAGAATCACAAGCCGGGTCGTGCGACTGCGAGATGACAGACACCAGCATGGCCACACAAGCAGCTTTTATTGCAGGCTTTTCAGTATAGACTAGAAAGTGCATTTCCTGAGGGGAAATGGGTCTATCTCTGAGAGTGGAGAAGACCCTGGGGTCTTATCATGCTTTTATGTCTATACCTTATCATAGGCTAAATGGTGGGTGGAATATTTATTACTTTGGGAAAAGGGTGGAGAGTTCTTAGAACTAAGGGCCCTCCCCAATGTTATCCTTACAGGGTAACTTCCAGTGGTTGCCATGACAATTATAAACTGTCATGGCTCTGATGGAT